TCGAGATAGCATAAATGAGTCGAGTACCATACACTTCCGCAGTTGGCTCGATCATGTATGCTATGACTTGTACTCGCCCTGATGTGGCCTTCGCTTTGAGCATGGTCAGCAGATATCAAGGGAACCCTGGCAAAGCACATTGGACCGCAGTCAAGAATATTCTTAAGTACCTTCAGAGGACCAAGGAATGGTTTCTAGTCCTCGGTGGGAGTGATGACTTAAAGGTGCGAGGGTATAGTGATGCCAATTTTCAGACCGACAGGGACAACTACCGTTCGCAGTCGGGCTGGGTCTTTACCCTAAATGGAGGAGCAGTGACTTGGAAAAGTTCCAAGCAAGAGACCGTAGCTGATTCAACATGCGAATCAGAGTACATTGCAGCGAGCGAAGCGTCAAAAGAGGCAATATGGTTGAAGAACTTCATTGGAGACCTTGGAGTTGTGCCAGCCATAAAGGAGCCCATGGAAATTTTCTGTGATAATGAAGGAGCGGTTGCCTTGACCAAGGAACCGAGGGATCATGGCAGATCTCGACATATCGACATAAAATATCACTTTATTCGACATCGGGTTGAAGAAGGACTCCTCGTAGTGAAGAGGGTATCGTCAGAGGATAATCCAGCAGATCCGCTTACGAAGGGACTGAGCAGGGTTAAGCACTTGCAGCACGCTAGGAGCATCGGGCTGAAGGACGATATTAGTTTAGATTAGATAGTTTAGAAATGTGTAATAGATAAATTGTAATTAACATTCGATGATTAAATAAAAGAGTATTATTTATTAGTAATGTTATTGTCTTATGTTAATCATTTACCTATTGTTTCATTTTGCATGTTTTGACTTCCTGAATAACAAGATTATTCAAACCGTCCACAGTCGTTCATATGTTGGAAGTAGGTATGAATGAAGACTGTCGTGAATTGGTGTGTAGATTGTCTAAAGTGTGTTAGATATAGCAAAAGTTTGCTACAACGTTCATGCGTGCTTATAAACAAGTTTTGAGCATTGGAATAAACCCACGCTTGTTGGAATCACTTCATGGAATTTATCATGAGTGATCGCAAGACGATAATATCATATGGTCTTAAAACCTAGATATATGGTTTATTGTTTGCTAATTGGTTGTGCATTGATAATGCGTAAACGCATCAGTAACTTGATGTTATAAAACGGATTGTTGTGTATGATTTGATTAGTGGATAGTAAATGCATATAAGTCGAAGTTTATCTGTTCCTTTTATCCTAAGAGGGTAAAAGCAATATCAGAGCCCCTCGATGATTTTGATTTGACTTATGTGTCGGGCCCGGTCAGGACTGAATTGATGTGTTCAATTAAGTTCTATGTCAAATGAATCAGAGATCGAGAAACTAACTGCTGGACAATAAGTATGACTATGTTCCATGTAATTGTCCGCACGATATCTAGAACAGAGGATTATATGTTCCCTTATCTAAAGGACAGGTTACTGATAAGATCAGAGTTCGACAGCGTCTTTGAGAGCTACGATTGCTAATCAGATTGTGCTTGCATTTGTAGTTACTAGACTTATCCAAGTGGGAGACTGTTGGATTAGTGTCTAAGCCCGTAACTATATTTGGTAAGTACTTGACCCGGTTGTGCATGGTCCTTTTGGGTTGCCTTCACCGTAGCAACTTGACAGGGTGATTTATGGAGAGAGAGAAGATATTATGGTTTATTAATATATTTTAAGAATAATATATTAAAGGAGTAATAATATTATTTAATTAATATTAGTCATAAATTAATTAAGAATTAATTTGGTGACTAAAAGAGATTAATTGAATAAAGGGGACTTAAACTGTCAAATGTGTGATAGTTGTATTTTGGGCTGGGAAACCTAATGGATTAAAGGGGTGAACGAAATTATGATGGGAGCCCATCATATTTTCGTCCATGGCCTGGATTCCAGAAGGTTCCATGGGCTGCTTAGGGTTTAAGCTGTCTATTAGGGTTGTGGCTGAAACCCCAGCTGCCCACAGTATAAATAGGACCCTATGCATGCAATTTTCGGCCACTTGATTCTAAGAACCCTAGAGCCGATTTTGTGTGCCTCCTTCCTCTTTCATATACTAACCTCTTGCTAGTTGGTGTTTGTAAGCCATTAGAGGAGTGACACTTGTGACTCTAAGCATCAAAGACAAGAAGATTCAAGCAAGCAAACAAGAGGTAATATTCTAGATCTGATTTGTTTCTTGTAATTTCGAATTATTACCATTAGATCTAGGGTTTATAAGTCTTGGATGATTGCATGTACAATTAGTGAAACCTAGATCCAACCATTAGGGTTTGTATGAGCACATAAGATGTTTTATTGGCTCAAACCCATCAGATTAAGACGTCCTAGGGCATAAAGTTGGCAACTTTAAGCCCTTGCATGCTATATAGGACTTAAAAACTTCATTCTTCACATTAGGACTTCATAGAAAGCTTCATACTCATGCATGGAGTCTAGATACTCTTCAAGCTAGCATCGTTATGCATCTAGCATGCTCACAAGGTTCAGATCTAACCATTTCAGCCTCTGGAGTTGCTCAACTCTCAAGAGAAGGTCCAAAACCAACTAAAGGGACAAAATAGAAAACCCTAGCTAGATCTAATGAATAAGACGGCAAAATCAAAGCTTTATACCTCCAGAAGATCTTCAAGGTGAACTAGATGCAGGTTCTTGAAATCCAATGCCACTCCAAGCTTGCTTAGCACCTCCTTCTTCTTGAATGGACACTAAAATGGCCACCAAATACACTCCTTATGCTCAAAAACACTCTCACAAGGTATCTCTGGTGTAGAAGGGCGAAATAAGACTATGGAGGCTGACTAGGGTTTGGTCTAAGAGGCTTAAGGGTGTTTCAATAGGTGTCAAGTCCGAGAATTAGGATTTTGGCCCTCTGTCGCATACGCCCCGCGTACCTATGCGTACGCCCTGCATACTCGGCCACCTTCCGCGATCATGCATCCTTAGTAAGTACGCCCCGTGTACTAAGGGACCTTTTATGCCATCTTTTCCTTCTCAAGGGTCTAAAGAGTAATACTTGAATTGGAGTGTTACAGGTGTCGGCGCATTTTTTACATGGAGAGGGAGGGGGGGGGAGGTGTGGGGTAAGATTTCAGTCTATCTAAAAAAAATAAACAATAAAACATATAGATAAATAGGGATGAACATTTGGACCGGGGAACCGGCTGGAACTGATCGGGCCGGGACCAGTGGCAGACCTTAGTGGTGCCCGGGGGGTCCCCGGCCACTGCTCCGATTCCGGCACGTAGTGTAAATTTTTATTTTTTTATGTTTTTTCTATTAGGTGCACCAGCTTAAAATACGAGTGCCACTAATAATTTGGATTTTTTCGAAATTTTTTTTAGTGTCACCCCTACTAAAACCTTCTGCGTCCGCCACTGGCCCGAACTGGGACGATATTCTTGTGAATTTTTAGAACCGGGAACCGGTAGGAACCGAAACCGGAAAAAACCACAAAACCGTATGTTGCTATTTCTCGAGGATCGGTTCCAACATTAAAGACACAACAATAACCAGTAGGAACTGGGAACCGACCGGTAGAACCGACGGTCCGGTTCGGTTCGGTTCTTAATTTCGGTCGACTTCGGTTCCCGGGCCGGGTCTGGTTCGGGCCGGTTCTAGCCGGGTCGGTTCCTTTGCTCATCCCTATAGATAAATAATAAAGGCAAACAATAAGAAAAATATTTATCAAGACAATATAATCATTTAATATTTTGTAGATGAAACACACAAGTTTGGAAATAATAAGGGACGGTTGAAGTGAAAAACAAAATATAGGGACGAAACGTACATATTGGGTCAAACCATATGGACGATATGAACGAACATGTGATAGTCTCAATGAAAAATAAAACATAAGAACGAAGCGCACAAATTAAACCAAAGGATAATGACTTAAAAGGGTAATATATTTTTCGATTTGTACATATTTGGTCACTGAGTTTTTTTTCGTCCACATTTACCCCTTCAACTTGTTAAACTGTACACATTCAGTCCTTATGACCGACTACTCCAGGTTAGCCGGTAAAAATTAATTAATAGGGTAATATATTTCTCATTTTGTACACATTTAGTCATTAATATTTTTGTACACATTTAAATCGTTCAGAACACAAGACCTAAGCCAAACCATAAGATCTACACAACCAAGCAGTCGAGATCACGATGGACATAAGCATCAACAACCCCAAACACATCATCAATGATTGTAACACGTAAGATGTCGTGAGAAAAACTTAATGAAATCCTTCATAAGTACTAAATGAGTACAAAAAACAAAAATGACTTATTTTGAAACAAAAAAATATTAATGACTAAATGTGTACAAAAATATTAAGGACTAAATGTGTACAAAATGAAAATTTATTACCATATTAAGTCATGTTTTTCGGCTAACCTAGAGTAATTGGTCATAAGGATTGGATGTGTACAGTTTAACAAGTTGAAGGGATAATGTGGACGAAAAAAACTCAGTGACTAAATTTGTACAAATCAAAAAATATATTACATTTTAAGTCATTATCCCTTAAACCAACTCTAGTGGAATCTCCGGTACATTTCAATACCATATAAATTAATACAAACATTTTTAAAGAGTTTTAGTAACATAAAAGTTTATAAAACAGGTTTACAAAAAAAAACATTTTTAAATTAGAAATCCCAAACACCATATAAATTAATACAAACATTTTTAAAGAGTTTTAGTAACATATAAGTTTATAAAACAGGTTTACAAAAAAAAAATTTAAATTAGAAATCCCAAACACCATATTCATCGATTGATTCAACAAATTTATGGATTAAGAAGGTTTTACGAGTTTACATGTCGGGATTTGTCTGGCAAAATGAGGATATAATTGATCTTATGTTATTAAATTTGATATGATTTTTTATATCAATTTGTATCCACCAACAAACGACCCAATAATTCCCAAACTTCCTCGTCTCTCTCTCTCTCTCTTACTCTATATATGTCCTCTTCCCTCTTCCCATGTCTTCTACATACTTCTTCCCACTTTTCATCAGTATTCCTTCTGAAAATCATCTGAAGAATATAAAGTAGTTATATGATCAGGAGAGATCAAAACTGATCTATCATGAGTTGTAATGGATGTCGCGTTCTTCGAAAAGGTTGCAATGATAATTGCATTCTTAGACATAGTCTCCATGGGATCTGCACCCCTCAAGCTCAAGCCAACGCCACCGTCTTCGTCGCTAAGTTCTTCGGCCGCGCCGGTCTCATGTCCTTCCTCTCCTCCGTCGCCGAGTCTCAACGGCCTGGTAAACATAAATCCATCATCGCCATCAATTTTCACTGATCATATGTGTTGTTGATCAACAATGCTTTTCAATTTTTCATTAGCCTGATCATGTTTGTTTTTGTGATTTAGCTTTATTTCAGTCTTTATTGTTCGAAGCCTGTGGTCGGACGGTGAATCCGGTGAACGGAGCTGTTGGACTGCTATGGACCGGAAACTGGCACGTGTGCCAGTCAGCGGTGGAAACAGTGCTGAGAGGCGGAAGCATACGAGCCATGCCGGAGCTATTTTCCGTCGGATCTACGCCCGTGATGACGGAAAACGACGATGCATCAGAAGCTATCAACTGCAACTTCGATGTGTCGAGAGTGAGGCCAGAAGATCTCAACCTTGGAGTTGGAGGTTTAGATGATGACATGAGATTAAGAAACTCCGGCAGCGGGAGAAATACTCATCGGTGGATGACGGAAAAGCGGAGAGCAGTGTCGCCGTCGGATGCATCTGAAACGACGACGTTAGAGAGTGGTTTGGGTTCAGATTGCAGTGAAACAAAACTTCTGAGACTCTTCTTATGAAAGAGACAGCTAACCGCTTATCAGTTCTACAGGCTAATATTCCCTCTGATAAATTAAATTTTATCTTTTTTTGTTTGTTTTTGATCGGCAAAAGAAATGAGAACCAAATATGAGATGTTTCAGCAAAATATTAACAAAAAATCAATTAAGATGTCATGTAGACATGTAGTATTTTAGTTAAATCTTTTTTTTTTAAAATAAATTAATGGGATAAAATGTCGATGATGGGGGTAAAGATGGAAAAAGTGAAATTGGTGGATTGTAATTGGCTCTTGCATCCTGCGAGGGGGCATGTCCAATTTAGTTAGTGTGAGGGTGAGATATAGGATATAAAAAAAATCATGGTGGGTGGGACCCAAATTTTGCAATATCCATTGGTTAGTGGTGGGTCTAATTGTTAAAGGATGGTTATATAGCATCAGCAAGCGAAGACACAAGGAAGTGAGTCAATCTGACCAAACATGTGGGGTCTACTTTCCTTGTGCCTTCCAACTGTTGTGTGTTGCTGCATATGTCCAACTTGGATTGGTGATTCCTTTTTCACAAATTCCAAATTTCATATGCAATGGCATAAATTTGGGTTCTTCACTTTTAAAATACAAAATAAACAATTTTTTTATATTTAATTATACTTTTTGTTGATAGATAAATGCATAATCTCTTTTATTAATACATAATTAGATCTAAATCAACATACGCCAACAAGAGACTTGAGAATATCATTATAATGGAGTAGGAGGAAGGTAGATACCGAATGAATAAAAACAGACCTTATGAATTACATAATAATGGGGGTAGGAGAGAGATAAATATGGATAATCATGTATCAATCATATAGATGATCTTTGACATATGTAGAACAAGTGCATGTAGAAGAGACAAGCAAGGGAAGAGTAAGTCGTATTGATTAGTATGATGAAAAAATATTGAGTAAATTATAAAAAAAGCATATGGATCAAATAACCTTTAAATAAGACAAAAACAATGGGAGAGTAAGTCAATGTACACGGTAAACAAATACATGAATAAATCAAGACTAATCTTGGCTTCATGACTTGAAGTTCCAAACAAGTCGTAGATAAAAACAAACACAATGTTAGTCTCACTTAATAACATAAGAATGGTTTGAAGGGTGAGTTGATCCAAGATCGGATTGTTGTGGCCATTTTGTTGAATTATTGGTGTGTGCCATCAAGGTAACCAAGAAGGTTGAGACCAAAGAGCAAGGCAATTTAGTTATTTGATCTACTAATGATGTGATATCTGTGTGTATGTGGGGCCCACACACACCTACACACACCCACATGCATGTCCAATCATTGGAGGTTTATTTACCAATACCCTTGTTTGATTGGTGAAATTCATTTACTATTTTCTTGCTTAGTTAGGCTGAAGGGTGTGGGTGCGGTCCCAGACCGCACTTTGTGCCACGTAGACCAAGAACACCGCCCCCAGACCGCGGTCTGGTGCGGTCTTGGCCGCACTGCGGTCCTTAAGTGCCGCGCTTTCTGATTGGTTGAGGGAAAAAAGGGAGGATCGCCGGTTGTTGGGTATTTAATATATATATATATATATATATATATATATATATATATATATATATATATTTGCTTTTTCTTTCTTATATATACATATCTAACATCATTTTTTTTTTCACAACACAATCTCTTGTCTCTCTCAAAAAACTTTTTTAAAAAAATCAACACTCTTTCAAAAATGTCATCTTCTTCATCTTCTGAAGAATTTCAGACTATTTTTGATACCGCTATTACGTGTGTTCAAATGGCGGAACAAACATACAACGTTGTATGTAACAACGCAGCTGCAAGTTCTCAACGGAGAACACGAAGATATATTTGCAGAAATCGTGAAGAAGCCAACCAACGTTTGGTGTAAGACTATTTTGCAGAGAATGCCACTTATCAAGGGTATTATTTTCGTAGGCGCTTCAGAATGCTCAAAGGTTTATTCGAACGTATAGTTGAAGATGTAACGAGGGAGTGCAGTTTTTTCCAACAACGCTACGATGCTAGAGGTACACCCGGTTTCACTCCCTTACAAAAATGCACGGCCGCACTTCGTCAGTTAGCATATGACATTCCGCCTGATGCGTTAGACGAAAGTTTTAGGATGTTTGCTAGGATAGCACGAGACAGTCTCCATTTTTTCTGCAAAACTGTGATTCAGTTTTATGGTCCAAAATATTTACGTAAGCCTACACGTAATAACATCCTGCAATTGCAAGCTCATCATGCTAGTGTGCATGGGTTTCCTGGAATGCTAGGAAACTTAGATTGTCTCCATTGGGGATGGGAAAATTGCCCTACAGCATATCATGGGCAATTTACCCGAGGTGATCATGGTCACCCAACGGTCATACTTGAAGCAGTTGCATCACAAGATATGTGGATTTGACATGTTTTTTTTGGTTCTCCTGGTTCGATTAACGACATCAACGTTCTTAATCGTTCACCAATATTTAACAACATATACGATGGATCCGCACCAGATTCTTCTTTTCAAGTGCGTGGAACGCCATATAAGTATGGTTATTATCTGGTCGATAGAATCTATCCTGAGTATGCTGTGTTTGTTAAATCGTTTACAGCTCCACATGGTTCTAGACGAAAGAAATTCAAGAGAGCTCAAGAAAGAGCTAGGAAGGATGTTGAGCGTGCTTTTGGAGCTCTGAAGAAACGGTGGTTCATATTGAAAAAACCAGCAGCTTATTTAGGCGAGGAAAAACTTCAAGAAATCATGTATACATGTCTTATATTGCATAACATGATTATTGAAGACGAATGAAGAGCGATATGTGCGTTTGACGAGGAAGAAACCATACCAGAGACACAGCCAATAGAAATTGGTGGCGAAGAGTATATAAACAGGAGAGCAGAGATACGTTGCACTGAAACATTTCACAATCTTCGCAATGACTTGGTGGAACACATTTACGGGGTTCAAAACATTAACCTTAATTTGGATCCACCGGATGACCCCGAAGACGAGTTCTCGGAGAACGACTTTATGTAGTTTGCTTTAGTTATTTTATTTGTGTTTTTTAAGTTTCTAGAATTATTTAAATGTCATGTGTGTGGTTTTCGTGTTTTTTTATTTATTTATTTTTTTTTGGTAATGCAATGTAATGTTTTTTTTTTTAATTTTCAAGTAATGAAAAATTATGTTTTTTTATTAAATTAGAAGTTTTATTAAATTAAAATAGTTAAAAAAAAGAAGTTTTATTAAATTAAAATAGTTAAAAAAAACACAAAAAAAAAAAAGAATGTGTGGCACCACTCCCTTGGTGTGGCAATAAACCACACTTGAGTGGTAAAAAATGACATGTCGCTTATGTGGCGGGGGAGGGAGTGCGGTTTCGGTGACACCACACCCTCCAGCCTTATTAACTATTGTTCAACTACAACAATGTACAACATTGATAAGCATCTACATGGTTATGGTAAAGGCATAAAAGAATATTGTTTCTTTCCAAGGCAGGTTACCCTACAAAATACTACATGATCATAATATGACAGAGGGAAAGTAAATGACTGAAGCCGCATATTCTGTATCAATATATACATCCCATGTAAAAGAAATCTTTGCAGATCCTAATGAGGGCTCTCTCTTTCGCAGATACTTTTGCAAGCTCCATCACAAGTGAATTCATTTCTTCTGCCTGAGAATCACCATTAGGATTCCTGATTAGACACACTTCTAATCGTATGGGGGGGGGGGGGGGGAAATGACTTACGAGCCCAACGAAGTTTCCAAACCGTTCAAAAAACCCCAATCATGTTTTGTCTGTTAAAAAAAACCCAACAAACTTAACATTTTGTCTAAAAAACCCAACTAAGTTACACTTTCCTGAAAGTCAAATAAGAGAAACAGATGACGTGACTTATTACCGTATCGGGAAAATGACTTGTTAGACCAACGAAGTTTCCAAAACGTTTAAAAAACTCCAATCATGTTTTGACTGTTCAAAAAAAACCCAACGAACTTAAACAAAACAAAATTGGGATTTTTTGAACGGTTTGGAACTTTGTTGGACTTTTTAGACAAAATGTTAAGTTCGTTGGGTTTTTTTGAACAGACAAAACATGATTGGGGTTTTTTGAATGGTTTGGAACTTCGTTGGGCTTTTAAGTCATTTTCCCATCGTATGGGCTTCAAGATTCAAGAACAATTAGTGAAATTAGAAGTATGCATTACCTTCAAACAGAGTGAGTGTATTGATGAACCCATTGCCTGAATCACAACCATTGCTGAACTTATAGCATCCTTCATGCTCTGGATATCAACCTAATAAATTCATCAACAAGTCACTTACAGTTGCACCACCACCAACTAGAAGACGAAGAATGTTGCCCTTCAAATCTTTAATTGCTCCAAGCAATGATCTTGAATGGTCTTTATCTGAACAAGCCCATTTTTCCAGAGAAAACCCATCTACACGAAGATGATATAAGAAATTAGATTTTCAAGATCACGACTAAATTTTTGAAAAGACCTTACTTGTTATTTAATGATAGATGCCAACTTCAGTTTTTGCCTTAGTAATTGCAATCTGTGTTGTTTTTTAGTGACAGAGTCATGCAGATCCGAGGTTGTAAGTTGTAACCCATGTGTTCCAGAGATATTTCTGAATTCAATGCAAATATGCACTGAAATGAGTTTGTATAAACACAAATAACTAATGTTTAAACCAATTTGCATAAATAATTAGTGATCATACATTCATACCTTTGTTCTATGCATGTTTTCGTTTCAACAATATATCTTCAGTCCTAGCGTTCACATATCGCCACTGCAATTGCCGATTATAAAAGAGCCTCAACAGTCAACATATGTGCATCAAGAATCCGATGGGTTTAGTGTTCTCCCCATGATCTCTTCCTCCATTGTCGATCTTCCTTCTCAAAGGGAAAGCAGTTGTCTTCCTCTCAGGGGTACTCTTTCTGACATTATTCAAATTAGGTGTCGTTTTGGTCTAGGGAAGCGAAGAAACCTCACCTTAATTGAAAAGACACAGACAAACTTCTAGTGGATGTTACCAAAAGCTTAGCAGCTGCGGACATGGACACCTCTCTGCCGGCGTTGTTACGTTTCAAGTTAAGATCCGGCTTGGTGGGTCTCCTTCGGTCAGCCGACACCGACCGTTTCACAGCCGGAGTAGTCAAATCTCTGGAGACAAGAGGAGATGGAGACCTTCTATGAGACATAGGTGTGGATACAGATGATGATTTTGAATTTGAATGTGAAGAACTTGAAGAAATATGTCTTGTTGAGTTATTAAGTGTAATAACGCCGTGATCTGTGTCAGACGACAACAATGGAGGTCTTCTTGTTTGGTTTGTTATTGTTTCAGAAATCGAAACAACCATCATCAAGAAAGATACATATAAACAAGAAAATAAATAAACCCCAGATGAAATCTTCAAAAACTCACCTCACAATGTTGGGTTTGAACCAACAATAAATAAAGAAAACCCGTTTTTATCTGAATGATGGTAACGACTTTAAGAACTATGTTATGCAAACCACACAGACACAAAGTGTCCGGTTGGAGATCACGAGAAGTAACGAAGCTTATTTTTCTTTTTTACTGCTACAAAGAGAAGAAAAGAGAAAGAGTTAGACGGTGGTTGGGTGGAAGGTGATCGGAGTGGTCGTGTGCATCTTTCCATGAAGGGGAGAGGGGTGTTTAAGGTTGTGATTTTGCTTAAGAAAAACGTTAAGTTGCACTAATCATGTTTTCGGTCTTTTTAATCACTCCTACACGAATAATCTTATGATTATTTCTTAATGTTTGTGTATCAATAGTGGTTAACAATCATTTTATTAGGTGTCTCCAATTTGGAGGGGTGTAAAATAGGATTCACTATCTCCTCGTATACCGATCGATGTATTTTATTATGCAAATCCACTGGATTCTAAATAATTTAAGCTTAATAAAGTCGTTAGCATGTGTGTGAGATAAACTAGAAGACTACCACTTTCTACTAGTATATGTATTTTGATTTAGATCCACGACACTTTTTAATTTACATTGTACGTAATAAAAAAAAGTATTTAATTCATATAAGTAAGTAAAGAACTCATGTATATAGAATTACATTTACCTCCCTTCCGTTGGTGTTTCAAGTACTACTCTTAGGCTAGAGGGAGTGGTAACATACGGTAGCATGTGCTAAAATATTGTCACGTCATGTTTTTATAGACACGTAAGCATAATATGATGATATGGAGTGGTGATGTGGTTAAAAGGTAAATATTTTTTTCTTAAATCAAATAAATTTTTATTTAAATATTTAAATAAAATAAATTATAAAAAAGGTACAAATGGTTAAAGCTGGAGTTACAGACATATAAAGCTGAAGTAATCAAATGGGGACCACCTGCCTTACTTTCTTCTTCCATTTCCTCTCTCCAACCAAATGATGAGCCAAAACTAGCACATGCCTTAGCGAGCAAATAGGGAGTCATAGCGATTATTTAACGAAGGCTTAGCGAGGGGGAGTGGCGAGCCACTCCCTTTAGCCTTATAATATACATCGAGAAAATTCAACAAACACAATAATCGAGAAATTTCCTATGTGTTTGGTTACTGTGTTCATAGACTTGTTATTATTAATGGACCCCATTATATTATAACGATATGTTCTTCGAAGTTTAATACCATATATTTTTGGGAAATCTTAAGAAAAGTCCTAAAATTTTACTTTAATTTACGAAAAAGTCCAAAACCAAATTTTGTTTACGAAAAGCATGAATTACCGGTAAAAATGACGATTTGACCCCTTTTTTCCGGTTTACTGGTTTTATTACTTACCTGTTTCACTAAAGTCTCATTATTTTACCATAATTTGCGAATAAGTCCCAAAATAAAATTTACTGATGATTTGGCCCTTTGCTCTATGTAACATACATTTTACCGGTTTCATTGCTGACCCGGACACCTAGTCATTAAATAAGATGATGAGATGGATATGTTGAGTTATATAATGCTATGTTTAGCATAAAACTTGATATCCTGATGTATTGTATATCTTTTTGGAACATAAAATGCATCCAACGAAGACTACAATAATTACATAAACTAACAATAACTGCGTTATTTTTTACGTTTATAAAAAATATCAAATTGTCTATCTAATCTTATGTAACCCAATATATCCATCTCATCAGACATCAACTCATTTTCTGCCCTTTTTTCTTGGAAACACATTTTATTGGTTTCATTGCTGACGTAGATACATAGTCACAAATGAGCCGATAAGATGCATATCAAATTTTACAGTAAATGTGACATTATATAACCCATCATATTCATTTTATCAGCTAATTTAATGACTATGAGTCTAAATCATCAATAAAACCGATAAAATGTATGTTACAAGAAGAAAATGGTCAAATCATCAGTAAATTTTATTTTGGGACTTATTCGCAAATTAGGGTAAAATAATGGGACTTTAGTGAAACATGTAAGTAATAAAACCGGTAAACCGAAAAAAATGGGTCAAATCGCCATTTTTACCGGTAATTCATGCTTTTTTGTAAACAAATTTTAGTTTGGGACTTTTTCGTAAATTAGGGTAAAATTTTAGAACTTTTCTAGAGATTTCCCTATATTTTTTTGCATGTCTTCCAAAACTACTAATTAAGCGGTCGTCTTATTTGCTAGACTTCGATGATAAATTCATGCACATCTATATGCCTATAACTTCCTTAAAAACCATGTCCAAATGTCTCCATTCTTCCTCTTCTCCACTCTAAAGACTAAAAGTGAAATTTAATTGTTTATATCTATAGCAACTGTAAAAATCATGGTGCCTACGTACTCCCCCTTTAATTGGGTGTAGTCTATCACGATCAATGGCTGCAAATGTCCTTTGAACATTTTAATCTACAAATGATAGTGGTTACAAATATTGAAATTATAAAAAAGTCACTAGAATTTCATGATGTTAACTTAAGCTTATCACACAATCCATGGTGACAAATAATAGCTCGACCTAATATTGATCATCGAGCTGAATACATAAGTCTCAATGAAAGTGACATAAAAGACACAGTATTGTTGTTATTTTTGTGTTTTAACCCACTATATTTAAGTTTTGTAGTTGTCATCCAAGTTTATAATTTTATCAACGTTTTTATTAAAGCCACAAACATTTGACAAACTTTTGTATTGTGTTCATTTTAACCTGTGTTATAACAGAAAGGTTAAAGTGTTCGATATAGAAAATTTGTCAAATTTAAATGACTTAAATATAGATTACCAGGGCATATAATGGATTTTATGTGTTTTGCTCTTGATTTTTTTATTATTAAATGCACTACAGGCAGTTATTTATTATATTTATATTAAATACAAGTATCATATTCATTGATTTGCTTAAGCTTAGTTTTGACTAATGAATGTCTAATGGGGACTCTTTCCACCTTTTTTTTTTGTGTGTACTTCATATTAAAATAAAGTATTGTGTGTACTTCATATACCGATCAGTTTTATATTAACAAGTTTTGTTTTGAAATATTTAATAAGACTTTTAGATGCAATTGAACGAAACGACATTACACAATAACATGAAACGTGGTAAAAAAATGTTTTAGTTTGACAAAAAAATTCTAAAGGAAAAATAGAAAACTTCAAAAATGCAAACCTTTTTAGTAACCTTTTTCCTTGAACTTATTAGTGAAGAAAGAAATAAAGAAAGCTTTGCCTTTCATTCACCAAAAAATATTGTTCATTGACACTTTACATGAAATCATCAACACACTTTACAAATTCATTGTTACCTTATACCAATCTTGGCCCCTCAATCTCTCCCTTTTCCTCTTCTTCCGCTTTTTTAATCCACGCAGCCTATGTTAATTAAGAAAACCAAACAAAACCAAGTAGATCAGTAACAGAAGCAATAACAATATTAATAACAGTAGTAGATGACAGATGACAGATAACAGATAACAGATAGTGAAATGAAACTTGCCTTCTCTCTTTGAAGCCGAGAGAGACCTGGGCGTATAGAGTTCCCAAAACTCATACCTCCCCACGCCGCTTCCAACTCTCTCTCCCTTGCTTCCCGTTTAGCCACCAACGGGTTCTTTATCTGCTCACCAGATTCCTCCAAACCACCAACAACCACTTTCACCCTCTCCACTCTCAACTTGGGCTTCACCAAAATCTTCTCCAAACTCTCAACACCATTATCTTCCTTCTCTTTCACTCTCTCTTTATTCCCATTAACATTTTCCTTTTCCTTCTTTGCTTCTAGAACCTCCCTCTCAAGTCTCGACACACGTTTCACCAAAACCTCACCAAGACTCGGTGTTTCCTTCATCTCTTGTTTCAACCTTTCAGATCTTTTCACCTTTGGCTCATATTCGTATTCACTCCCACATTTTCTCTTAGCCTCCTCCATCTCTTTCACAAGCTTTGAAGTATGCTTCATTAGCATACTTCCCAACTCAGGAACAACCTCAACCTCAACCTTTTTCAAATCCTTCTTGTTTTTATCAAAATTGTTCTTTTTAGCCTCTTGAATCTCCTTTTCCAATTTCGAATAATGTTTCACCAAAACTCCTTCCAACCCTCTTTCTGTACTTGTCTTCCCTTCTTGAGTATCATCTACTTTTTCCACTTTGGTTCTACCATTTTTAGCATTTTTTGCATCTTGTATCTCTTTTTCAAGTTTGGTCAAACGTTTGACTAGAAACTTATCAAGCCCTGGAAGCTCTTCTTCGTGTTGCTTCCTGCTTGCTTTACCACCACCACCATTTTGGGCTTCAGCTAGGGCGGCATTGAGTCCACATGTTGCAACAATGGTGGCAAGAGAGGCAAGTTCTTCTTCCTTTAAACTTTTTAGTCTTTCCAACATCATGTCCACAAGAGATTCCTTTTCTTTTTCCTTACTCAATTCCATCTCATTTTTTTGAGATTCTGATTCACAATCTGGAGTGGGTTCTTCACATAAATCTTGATTCTTTTCATCTAAATCAGGGTTTTGACTTATTCTTTTCAGTAGTTCTTTAAACTCTGCTTCACCTATGGATGCACAACTTGAGAGTCTGACAAATGCAGCTTTCAAGGCAGCTGCCACTTGTTTATCAACCTCAAATGCAGTGTCAAAAGATGTTGTCACTGTATGTTGTCCACTTTCGGATGATTTTTCTATTTTGTAAAGCTTTGTTGAGCAATCTGGTATGTCATACATGATGACTCCGATTTCTTTTGCAGATTCAAAAGCTTCAGTTGCAGTTTCTTCTGCTTTTGCCAGAAGAGATTCTGCTTCTTTACTCTCAATTCTGTGAAAATACCAATCTGATTAGATAAAGTAGAAGTAGAAGTTGAAATAAATAAAGAAAAAAGGTTTATTGCATATTTTACCTTGCTGCATGAAGTATTCGACACCAGGATGCTTCAACAAGTGCAGCTTTTCGGGCCTCTATTGCTCTATGAGCAGCTTCTTTAACTGCTATTTTTTCTCTGAGGACTTTTGAGAAATGGGGATTTGTGTCACCAAGAGTTTCATCAAGAGTTGAGTTCATGCCATCTACTTCCTGAAATAATGAATGATGATAATAATAATTTAGATGCATTTTTCAAGACTAATGTAATTGAACAAGAAGATAGAATAGGTTACAGTTACACTACCTGAAGTAATTTTAATTTTCTTGTTAGGTAGGAATCCACTTTCTTGCGTGGAAACCAGCTGAGAGGTGAAGTTTTTCTACGAGTAGGCTTTTTAATCTGAGATGCCAGTTTGTTAAGAGGACGTGGGCTTGGCTGATTTGGATCTTTCTTTATCTTGTTCTGTATTTTTTAGTAAAAGAGACAAAATCAACAAGATAATCGATACATTATGCAACAGTAATCAAATTATTTTCATGGATCTGAGTCTCACAAGTCACAAGAAATGGTTTGAGATGGTTTCTTCTTAAATGTTTAGTGTAACTTCAACCAATTTGACAAATTTTAGACAAAAATTGGAACATCAGACAACAGAAATAAGCATTCATGCATATCATATACACAATTTGGCTATCAAATGTATTTTCAGCCCATATTAAGGCAATTAGTTGCCGAATCGTTGTTATTTTTCAATTTCTCTGTGGATATATTTGGTAATTAACTATTACACATATAAACACACACAGGATTCTAAAGGATTAAGATCCTAGGCACCCACATCAATGCAAAACAGATTGTAGATCGTTTAGATAGTAGGCACCCACATCAATGTAAAATAGATTGTAACTTCAAATAAAATTAGGGTAAATCAAACAAACTACAATCCGAAACCAACGCTGAAGAAAATTATCCAGGAAAAACACAAGTTACTAAAGCAACGCCTACGGATTGAAGGGAACATATCAGAAGGAAAAATCAATGGAAAAAATCAAGAACCTAAACAGATAACGAGAATTACATAAAGATACACACCTTTATAGGCTTCGAAGTTGAGGGACAAGAGCGATTAGAGTTTATCTCTGAATCAACAGAGCTTTGACTGATTTCCTTTTCAATACAACCCAAATCCAAGCAGCCGAAATCCATTTTCTTTGACTATCCCGACAACGAATGAATCAGATGAGATATAAATGATATTAATTGGTTGAGTATGTAATAGTCAGGAAAAACACAAGTTACTAAAGCAATAGTCAGCGACCAGGGCGTGAAACGCCAGATTGAAGAGATACATCTAAAAAATCTATAATTCATCAATCTAGGGTTTGATCATAACAGGTAAGCAAAACTTCCAAATCGGAAAGCAAAATCAATGGAGAAATTAAAAAATTAAATCGTTGATGAGAATTGCAGAAAGATATATACCTTTGGAGGCTTCGAACTTGAGGGCAAAGAATCATTAGGGTTTATATCTGAATCAACTGAGCTTTGACTGGTTTGCTTTTCAATACAACCCAAATCCAAGCAGCCCAAATCCATTTTCTTCGATTATCAGGATAATGATTGAATCAGACGTGATGAAAAATGAAAATAGCCGGTTGAGAACGTAATTTTATGAAGCTTAGAAGATGGCGATGTTAGAGAAACATGTAGAAGTAGGGTTTTGTTTTTGATAACGATAACGAAGGAAGTATCCGTTACAATTGTTTCATGCAGTGTTCAAAATTTGAGATTTGGATGTTGATCGTATGGAGCAGCGGTGCAGGATACTTACTATGTCGCTCCAACGATTAAAACAGGTGGACTGGGCTCAAGTGTTTTCGGCCCAAGGTCCCTAGGCAGACAAACACCGGATTTGAAATGGTTTGGTTTATTAAAAAAAATGCAAAAAAGTTACTAAAATTTGATATTGATTTACCTTTTTCAGTTATGTTATTATATTTATATTTTTGTTGCAATATCAATCAAATGACTGGTTGTTTCTGTTTTTGCAGTAACTATTTTTTTCGAATTACAATAAAGTCACTAAATTTATCAAAATTTTGATTTTGACATCGAGTTTCAAATTTCAAGAAAGTCATTATATTACCATAAAATTTTAATTTTGACATCGATGTTTTTTTTTTCTCAATTATGTCGTTACATTTATAATTTTGTTGTAATGTCAACCAATTGACGGATTTAAGAGATGTTATTGTGGTTTAGAAGCTCGATTTGTACAACAAATAAATGAAAGTCGGTCCAATGGTTCAAACTTACTTACATGTCAGTGAAAAGGGCATAGTCACCCTTTTAGGAGATGTTATTGTGGTTTAGAAGCTCGATTTATACAACAAGTAGATAAAGACCCCTATAAGGTTGATTTAGTGGTTTAAACTCACTAAACATCTCCTGGATCGACCTTGTAGGGTCTTCATTTATTTGTTGTACAAATCGAGCTTTTAAACCACAATATCATCTCATGAAAATGGGTGAGCACACCTTTTTCATTGACTTTTAAGTGACTTTAAACCATTAGATTGACCTTTAGATGCCATTTGTGAAGAAATACTTTGACGAGAATTAAACATTAAACATTATAATAAAAAAATGTCACCTAAAAGGGTGAGTATACCCTTTTCACTGACTTTTAAGTGAGTTTGAACCTCTTAATCGACCAAAAAAGATATGTGAAATTGGGTTCGATGCAAACACTATATTTGAAACTCAATCCTACCACATAAGATTTTACGTGGCTTCCACATCATAATATTGTCATGTCATTTATTTTGTAACCTACTAGATTAATGGTAACTAGTCAATTGGTTTAGAAGCCAGTTTGTAGGGATCTTCATTTATAGGGGTATTCATTTATTTGTTGTATAAATCGTCCTTGTTGGGGTATTCATTTATTTGTTGCACAAATTAATCGACCTTGTAGGGGTCTTCATTTACCCGTTGTACAAATCGAGCTTCTAAACCACAATATTATCTTCTGAAAGGGTGACTATGCCCTTTTCACTGACTTGTAAGTGAGTTTGAAATATTTAAACCTTCATTTATTTATTGTACAAATAGAGATTGTAAACCACAATATCTCATGAATTTGTCAATTGGTTGACATGCAACAAAATTGTAAGGCCCCGTTTGGTGAGGAGAACTAAGTGGAATAGAACAGAACTAAAAAACTTCCTATCTGTGTTTGGCTTGTCTGGAACAAGAACTAATGAAATTTGACCCAGTCCAATAGGACAATTTACTAAAAAAATAGTCCTACCCAAATAGGTGGAACTCGGTAGAACACGTTCTTCTCTTTTCTTAATGTGACGAAAATAACCCTACATGGAACGGCTTGCTACTCCAGATTTCTCGTTATCTACATTCTCAAGTTGTTCTTGCATTCTTCAAATATTTATCAACTTCTTCATATAATCATCTCAATCCATTGTAAACACAAACTGATTATCGATTCTTCATCCTCGATTTGATGCCATATGACTTCTCCAGCCATTGAATTCTTATAAGTGTCGTCTGATTCTTATCATCACCAGGTATGATTAAACTTCAGAATATGCATCTCTTCAATTAGCTGAACGATATCTTAATTTATATGTTTTAATTTCGATTTGATGCCTTAAACTGCATTTGTTGCTTTGTAAATTCATATGTTTATAATTTTGAATGGCTTGAAGTTATCAGTAATCACTACCGATTTGCAATATTTTTGCAGAATTAATCAGGTAGCTTGTAATGTATGTTTATTAAACTCTTGCCAGAAATATTCAAAAGTTTTTAACGATATAGAGGGAAGATAAAGGTCGATTATGCTATGTCTTTATCCCTCTTGATCGATCTTGCCCAAAGAAAGTCAATTACCTTGTGTATTTTGTTTCCTTTTGCTGGTTTTAAATTAAAAGGAACATGTTAGAATATTATTAAGATGTTATTGGTTATGCTTCAGATCAGTTAAAGGTAGTATCAACTTTAGGAGGCTAAACATTCTTTGTTAATGTTGATAATGTGTTCCATTTTTTGACCAAATTGTCCCTAAGCTTTTGTTTCTGTCCAGTTTATGATAAACATCCTCGTTGGTTCTTGGGAGGCTAAAATAAGCAAACTTTTGCTGCCTAGTTTAGTACCTGTCAAGTTTATGTTATTTTGCCCGGTTCAAGTTGTAGATACTCAATTTCGGACGAAATTGCCCCTGAACTTTTGTACCTGCCCTTGAGTTTTTTTTACCGGAAGACTTCATTCAATTGTTCAGTTGCTCTTGGATGGTGGTGGTGAAAACATATTGTTATTGAGGTTAAGCACATTGTTTGTTTTGTGTAGTTTTCTTTTGTTTTTATTTGCTTTTGTATCTCTCCAACCTCTTACAAGCATTTCATTTATTTTAATAATATTTTTTCCCATACCGGTAAAAAACAAATCTTCCATATTCGTCCCTCAAACGTCTTTCTTTAAAATCAATAGAATGCTCTTTTTTACTTGTTTTTTTTTAAAGTTTAGAAAACAAGAATGCAAAACAAAATAACCAAAATAACTCTTTGATTAATTGGAAAATCACTCAAAATCAATGTTTACAATCTATTCTCATAATCATAAACTCGATTATGGACATGTAATATATAGCCTAACAAACCAACTTGTATTAGACTAGGAAACTTATGACCAACTTGCCATAAACTAAACTTTCCATAAATTAGATTGCTTGGTCTCCAAGTCCTCATCGACTTAGGATTCCAACAATCACCCCCAAATCTCTAAGTCCTTCTAGAGCATTCTTCAACCCCAATCCGTATTTAAAAAACGGGCTCGTCGTTGTCGTCACATTCCGAAAATCATATTCTTTTCAAACCATCTCGATTCTCAAATTTTTTGGACACCTAACCTCCACCTCGGTCACGACCACCTTTACCGTCTTTCATCACCCCTAAAAGGAACCGAATAAAAGCTACCCGCTTTACGTCTTCTCGTTCATTTATTCCGCGCCTCCAGTTAGTCTCTCTCTACCGTAGAACAAGCCCGATCAAGAGAAATCGGGGTTGCTATTGAGATGCTTCAACTCGCGCTCAAAAACAATCCACACCCCCTTAAACCGAACCCGGTTCTTGCTGCGTCTGCCCCACAACGAAAGACTATAGTTTTCTTGAAACCGACTCTCAAACCGGCCGCCCTACGTCCTCAAGAACCCTATGCTCTGATACCAATTAAAGTTTAGAAAACAAGAATGCAAAACAAAATAACCAAAATAACTCTTTGATTAATTGGAAAATCACTCAAAATCAATGTTTACAATCTGTTTTCATAATCATAAACTCGATTATAGACATGTAATATATAGCCTAACAAACCAACTTGTATTAGACTAGGAAACTTATGACCAACTTTCCATAAACTAAACTTTCCATAAATTAGTTTGCTTGGTCTCCAAGTCCTCATTGACTTAGGATTCCAACATTTTTAACTTTGTAGATATGGAGAGTTGAAGACCATGGAGTTGTCTTCTTCAGAAGTCATGCGGGTTTATTTAAATTTTACAAAAAAACATGTATTTGTTACCGAGGTGGAATAGCTTGGATGCAACTACCAAACCATTTTCTTGCGAAGATTAGGAAGAAGACAATTGAAGATTGTTATTTTATGTTCAATTGACGGATTTCGGAAACCATTTGGGTTTAGAACTTTATTATTTTGAAGCGATTTTGATTATTTGTTATTAGAACTTGTGTTAATATGAGAATTTTAAATAATTTTTTTAATAAAAATGTTAATTTTGAAGTTATGTATGTCAAATAGAGTTATTATTAAAATTTTTGTAAAAGGGTAATATGGTCATTTTTACATCTTGTTCTGTCCGGATCTATTTTTACCAAACAGTTTCAGACAACTTGCTCTGTTCTGTTCCAGTCTTACCAAACGCTATACAAATTATTTGTCCTGTCCAGTCCAGTTCAGTTCAGTCCAATCTAGTTCTGTTCCACCCAGTTCATCTACCAAACGGTACCTAAATGTAATGATATAATTGAGAAAAAAAAAACTCTATATCAAAATCAAAATTTTGTGGTAATATAGTGACTTTCGTGCAATTTGAAACTCGTTGTCAAAATCGAAATTTTGGTTAACTTAGTGACTTTATTGCAATTCAGGAAAAATGGTTATCGGGAGAACATAGAGAACCGATCATTTGGTTGATATTACAATAAAATTATAAATATAGTGACATAATTGATAAAAACATAACTCGTTGTCAAAATTGAAATTTTATAGTGATATAGTGACTTTCTTGCAATTTGCCGTAAAAAAACTAGTTATTTCAATAATCGATTTCAGTTTTTTTCAAAGTGAAATTTTGTAAAAAATAATTTTTTTTATTTTTTATTCTTGAATGAAAAAAAAAAGAAATATAAATTTCAAATTAATAAAAAATTTGGGCTTAATCTAAAGAGAGTCTCTGGCCTAACACTACACAAATATGCTACTAACACTACACAAATATGCTACTGACATATATAAAAACTTGTTCAATTTGATTTTTAAAAAAATGGTAAAAAGTTGGTTTTCAATTTTTAAAATAATCGGTTTCTAATCGCCACGAGTTCGATTTTCTCAAAACTGCTACAGTTTTCCTACCACTAACCCTAAATTAAAAAAAGCTAATTAAAAAGATTTTCAAGCACGATATTAATAAGTAAACAATTCTATCATTAAATGATATGATATATTTATATGTAAGATGATAAAGGTTG